GGGACCTTGGAGGTCATCTAGTCCAACCCCTTGCTCGAGCAGGAGACCCTATACAATTAGGAGACAAATGGCTGGCTGCTAAGTGAGTTTTGCCCCATTTTACGACCTTTCTTGCTACCCTTGTGAAGTGAATCACTTGCAGGTGTTAAGTTGTTAATTAATTCCGGGCTTCCCCCATTGACTTTGCTTGCTGGAAGGTCGCTAAAGGGGATCACTGCAACCGTCATAAGTATGAGTCAGTTGCCAAGCGATTGTATTTTGATCACGTGACCCTGGGGGGGAAATGCTGCAAGGGTGAAAAACGGCCCTAAGTCCCTTTTTTCAGTGCCATTGTAACTTGGATCGGTCACTAAACGAACTGTCGTAAGTCGAGGACTACCTGTATTCTGTCCCTGTGCCGTGATTTCTGCTCTCATGCAAGCAGCCCCTGACTTACAACTACAATTCAGAAAAATTCATGGCCGGGCATTAAGTGAGGCATCACGCGACCGCCTCTGACGTCTGCCACCTTTCTCGTTTCGGTCGTTAAGCGAATCTGCTTGGAGGCCGGCTGGAAATACCGCCGACTGTGAGACACAGCAACCGTCGTAGTGTGAGATCCTTGCCAAGTGCCCCGGCTGCGGTCACGCGACCCACAGGGCGATGCGACCGTCGTAACTTGAGGACCTGTCCCTTTTTTCCCATCGTCGTTCAACAAAAGGTCGTAAAAACGAGGACTGAGCCCCATCGGACATCAAGAGCCGGGCAACTGACCAGGACCTCGTTGCGATTTGGGCGGGAGGCTGCCAAGGTCTTACCTGCCCGGGGGATTCTGGGTAATCCTCGTTGTAAGCCGAGGCTATGCTGCTCTGGACGGCGCACATCCAGGCCTGCAGGTGGCGCTCTGAGTCGGCCTGGAGGAGGCAGGACCTAAAGCGAGAGGCGGGAGGGGAGGATGCAGGAGCCCGGACTCATCGGAGACCCAGGCAGTCCTCGTCCTTACGGCCAAAATTGACCCCTACAGCCAGGAGAAGGGAGACCGGGGGGGGGGACTCACTTGGAGGGGGAGACCACCTCGAAACAGAAGCGGCGCTCGTGGTCCGGACACGGCTTGACCGTGCAGAGGCGAAGGTCCTCCACGACCACCGTCAGCAGGTCCTGGGAGGTTGGGGGGGGGAGGAGGAGGAGGAGGAGGAGGAGGAGGAGGAGGAAGACACCATGAGTGGTCCAGCAGGTCCCCAGCCCCCCCCCCGCCAAGAAGGGCAGCGCCAGGGCCCCCCACCCACCTCCCCAGACCCTGCGGAGGCCTTTGCACATCATTGTGATTCTTTCTTTCTTTCTTTCTTTCTTCTTTTTCTTTCTTCCTTCCTTCCTTCCCTTCCTCTTCTTCTTCCTCCCTCTTCTTCTCCTTCCTTCCTCCCTCTTTCCTTCCTTCCTTCCCTCCTTCTTCTCCTGTCTTCCTTCCCTCCCTCCTTCTTCTCCTTCCTTCCTTCCTCCCTTCTTTCCTTCCTTCCTTCCCTCCTTCTTCTCCTGTCTTCCTTCCCTCCCTCCTTCTTCTTTCCTTACCTCCCTCCCTCTTCTTCTCCTCCTCCTCCTTCTTCCCTCCCTCCCTCCTTCCCTTTTCTCCTTCCTTCCTTCTCTCCCTCCTTCTCCTGCCTTCCCTCCCTCCTTCCCTCTTCTTCTCCTTCCTTCCTTCCCTCCCTCCTTCCCTCTTCTTCTCCTTCCTTCCCTCCCCCCTCTTCTTCTCTTCCTTCTTCCTTCCCTCCCTCCTTCTTCTCCTTCCTTCCCCCCTCTTCTTCCCTTCCTTCCTTCTCTCCTTCTCCTGTCTTCCTTCCCTCCCTCCTTCCCCTTCTTTCCTCCCTCCCTCCTTCCCTGTTCTCCTTCCTTCCTTCCCTCCCTTCTTCTTCCCGTCTTCCTTCCTTCCCTCCTTCCCTCTTCTCCTTCCTTCCTTCCTTCCCTCCCTTCTTTTTCTCCTGTCTTCCTTCCTTCCCTCCCTTCTCCTCCTCCTTCCTTTCTCCCTCCCTCCCTCTTCTTCCCTTCCTTCCTTCCTTTCCTTCCTCCCTCCCTCTCTTCTTCTCCTCCTTTTCCCCTCCCTCTTGTTCTGTTCCTCCCACCCTCCCTCCCCCCAGCCCATCCAGGTGCAGCCCCCCCCACACACACACACCTTGGCCTTCTTCTGATAGACCAGCTGGCTGTTCTGGATGGAGAACCAGCGCCTGCAGAGAGGAAGAGCAGCCAGAGTCACCCTGCAGAGCAGGACAGCCCAAGGAGAGCCTCCCCGTGTCGGAGCAGTCTACCTCCCCG